ATAGAAAAACACATATATTTAGTCAACCTTAAAATGCAAGTAACTCAAATGCTTTACTAATTGTAAGATTACTAGTATAACGTATTCATATTCACACTCGTAAAACACGCCCATCCAGGATAATTTCGTACCTATTCCTTGCCTGAAATAAAATGAAAGAAAATACATTAATAATCTCATTCATATACATATATATATATATTCATAAGATTATAAAATAAGATTGAAATACTTATCCTTTATCCTTATTAATTCAGTCTCAGCTCACTATTACCTCTTCTCACCTATAACAATAACGAAATATATTAATTACTGCACTCTTATACGATAAAACCGTTATATATAATCAATAAATAATTATCCTTACAGAGCTAAGCAAAATGTCAACGACAAGCCTTATGCTAGAAGTAAAAAGACTACGTAATCTTGCTTATCGCCTGGATTTAGACGAAGCTAAGGAAAGAACACGCGGCAAATACTTGAATATATTTAAACAAAAATAATAAAAAAAAATAAAAAAGGGGAGAGACTAAAGTTATATGAATAAATGTAGTAACGATAGAAGTATAGCATTAACTTACTTTTAATTTATCCTTATCATATCCGTCCAGCGAAATCACGGTGACAGTATAGATAACCAGCCCTATAATAAAATAAGAATAACCTATATTAATAAATATCCTAATAAGTAACATAAGGAATGAACACTGAAAACAAATATGCGCGTCTATATATGTATGCAAGTACAAATATACACGTGTATATACCCAATAAAATAAAAAAAAAAAAAGAGAAAGAAGAGAAGAAGAAGAAATATATTACTAATCAAATCTATAGAACTACTTAAGCACATTGCTAAACAAATGTTTTGTCAATGGAACTATTACCTCGATTTAGATAAATCCAACTGCAACAACATAGCTCTTACACTGCCAAGCACATTTTAGAATCCTGTAATAAAAATCACACAAATAATTAATTATCTATAAATATAATCCTACTCTATACGACATAACCATAAAATTATACTTACTAATAAAAGTTC